CTTCGTAAATACGGAACGGAAATGAACCATTTTGGCCTGATATTCCTTTTAGTGATTCATAATATTGTAGTTTGTAATACGTTTTATTTTCCTAATTCATTAGAAGAACCATATTATCTTATAAATTTTAGATGGCATTTGTAGCCTAATTACCCACGAACGATTAATAAATCTACAGTGCATATCTATAGCACATATGCATTTCCAGAAGAGCTGATATCACTTTTTGTTACACTTTTAACCACGAGTATCTTTATTTTTAACAGGCTGAGAATCTATTTAATATGTCGGAGAAACCGGAACAAAATGTACGTTCTATCCTATTAACCTTATTTATATACAAAAAAAAAATAACAGACAAGATTTAATTCATTTATAACAATGGCGGTGTCTGGACAGGTTTATTGACTGTAAAGAAGACTTAATGAGCCGATAAAATGTCGCATCACATTCACATTATATAGAACTAAAATACCATTGATTTAACTTGATCATTTTCACACTTCTCTCGTCTTTTGTCATGGAATGGAGTTCATGGTCTCGTCAACACAGTACTTTTGTCACTTTGAGTTAAATTTCATTGAGCAATGCGGACCGCCGCTCTCTGCCCGACAAACACCCACCTCTTGGCATTGGCATTTGTATATAGCAGAAAATTAAGGGTACATGACTCCCGACTATATTTTCTTGGTTCCGAATCTCAGCGTAACCGACGACGAACCTTCGGAATGATTCCAGTTTGCCCTTCAATTTAACGTCCACTCGACACAAACTAACATATGAATCAATTTTTTTTCAATAATTCGCATGCGCGTAGGGGTCTTTAGCAGTGGGACGAAACCGGGAGAAAACCCACGAGGTTGGACAGGCGACCCTACTCCTTGTTACGTACAAGCGGGGAATCGAAACCGTGTTGCTTGAGTCATTGACAGATCTTATGATACAACGCGCACGCGTTAACCATTCAGTCACCCAACGCTCCGTATTCCACATATAATCACAGAAATAAAAATTACCATTTTTTTGTCTCAAAATGACAAAAGTATTATGAAGACAAGAAACATAAACTCGACTCCCTTCCGGTTATAAGTCAAAGTAATGTCAACTAACATTTACATACAGTAATGGCGTGTAATGGAATTTTAACAAAACTATTTCAATTTTTCCATTTACAAAAACTAAACCTTCCATCTACACCTCTGCGGATTACCCAAGAAATAGTTCCAATTTGCCAGAAGGATTAGGCCTAACCAGTTTTTAAATTAGTCTATCACCCTTTCTGGCGGCACCAAATAAGCCTTACACACCTGGAATATTGACATTTAATGGAGAAACCCATTTTCAATTTGGCATACACGAAACAATGGCTTCGTCAAGCCAGCTTTATTAGTTTATCAACCTACTGTCGCGACAATTCATACACTTCTCTAAGCTATTAGAAACAAAATAAAGCGTTTCCAAACAATATCTAATATGCAGTTTTGTTGGAACCGTTTTCCTTTCAATACCATTGTTTATTATCGTTCATCTGAGGTTTATACACGTTGACACAAGTAAAGAACTCAACGAATGCAATCAAAAATAAATTACAAAAGATACAATGATCGCTTAAAGATACATTCTCACGAAAGTATTTACAGGGAAGTTATTCCCAATAAAAGTATGTCAAATTTGGTATATATGTAAAACAGAGACGCCCAATCTTACTAGAAAAAATACTGGGGTTCCCTGAAAACGCCCGACGGCTTCTTGTCTGCCAGCTTGACTTAGAGAGTGGTTGTTATTTTTGATCGAATGGTTAGGCGGTTTTCGGAACAAGAAGGGGTGCAATTAAACCCCGGAAAAAGAAATTGGCAGAAGATAATCCAGGAATTTACGTAGGCTTTAATATGTATGGTAAATGGACAGTAAGTAACGACAAATACATTCTGAAAATGGGCCCTCTCCCAATCAAGTTATGTCACAAACATGGCTTCTAAAAATAGATTTTTATATCTTTGGGTATTTCCTCGTAAATACAAAGTATTGAGAGGGATTTGAAGCAAATTTTTGATAAATTAATTAGTTTCAATATGTTTTTAGTCCAAATATATCATCAAATCACACACTACATATTGTCCACCTTGACAAAAATTTGATTTAACAAATTTTAATTAAAAATATCGGTACCATCTCGCTAAAGTTAGAAATGGAATGAGGTTTTGGCACAAACAGAGATAATGAAGATAGGGTAGTCAAACGTTTGAGTAACTTAGTGGTTTAATCATTAGGTCTATTATCTAAGGTTTGATCGTTCTGTTGGTTTTTTACGGATAATAGGTCCCTTTCATCGTCTAAAGACCCCTATACGTACGCGAATATAACCGGGATTCAGTTTACATAGTAGAGAGAGAGAGAGAGAGAGAGGGAGAGAGAGAGAGAGAGAGAGATTAACGTCCACTCGACACAGACTAGGTCATTTCGGGACTAACATATGATTTTATTTTATTTCAATAATTCGCTTGCGCGTAGGGGTCTTTAGCAGTGGGAGGGAACCGGAGGACCCGGAGAAAACCCACGAGGTTGCATAGTAAGTAGACATGACTGTATCTGCCAATGTCCCTTTAAAGTTATTAATTTTACAAGAAAACAAATTATTAATATTCTCTAAGATAACATATAATTACAACTTTGCCCAGAATCATTGATGCCAAAAATAAAGATTATATTTATGTAAGCCCAGATGGACTAACACCAATCAGATTGGACGAACACCAATCAGATTGGACGAAGACTATAATTAGTCGGAAAAGTGCTATCTGAAAGAAAGATATCATGCATAATTTGATTCAATTCTTAATCATTAATGTTAATAAACCTTGAAGATTGGCCGCTGGTGGTATTAAATGCGATGGTCTGACGGAGATATAGAAGTCTCTAATGTCAAACGAGTAAGTACAAAAAGTAGCGGAGACCGGGGCGCAGTGCACCAAGGGGTACAGTGAATCGGGCACTCGGTCAAAATATCTACCGTGTGAATCTGGGTATTTTGACATCAATTAATGTATATCAATATTAGTGGCTACGATCTTTTATATTTCGATAATCGAGCAAAATATGAAGAAAGGAAAAATAATTCTCTTTTCAACACGTAACGTTACTTTTTTTTATTTTAAGTTCTTCAGGCATTATTCCTTCTATTGTAGGTAATCTAAGTGTAAAAAACTTTCAAATTCCGATACAAGCACTAAAATTTGCATGCGTATCCGATTAGGGTCATTTATATAGAAAATCCCGTTAGCCATTTTTGCCTTTTAGACAAAATGTGAATTGTGTACAAGGTCTATCTGTGAGCCCCCTAGAGCTGCTGGTGCGATTTAGACGAAACTTTTAAACATACATGTTAAGGATTCAAAGATCTTGGGGAAGTTGGATTTTGGTCTATCTGGTCTGAATCAGACGGCAACTTCTTAGATTATGGCCCTTGCCTTTCACGTGAATTGTGTACAACGTCTTTGAACCCAACGTCTTTGAACCCTCCAGGACCCACAATTCTTGTTTCGATTTAGATGAAACTATATGTTAATGATCAATAAAATAGGACAATTTGGAGTGCCTTTATCGCAAAAATGCTATTCCGTAGCCTAAAAGTAGACCATCTAGAGAATGGGTGTCATCTTGTACTTTCGAGACGCTAATGAGCGTTTTCAAAAGAGTATTTGTGCCAACATTTGAACGAGTTCCCAGTTTTTATGCAGTTATTGGCTGCACTATTATTAGATGTATGATACATCGCACAGTGAATCCCCTATTGATCAGTTCCATGGACAAATCCAGTTTTGCATAAAGCCCCGTTCAAAAGTTTAATGTAAGTCATTTTGGAATGACCTTCCCAAATAACTAAAAATAAATGGGGTTTAACGTCTTTTTGACACAAACTAAGTCATTTCGGGACTAACAAAACTGATACATTTTTCGAGTAAGGGTCTTTAGCAGTGAGAGGAAACATAAAAAAACATACTCCTTGCCATGTACAATTAATATAGGATCGAAACAACTGGACAAAATAAAAGAAATGAAATGAAATGAAATGGGGTTTAACGTCCTACTGTACTGCTCCGATTTCAATAAAACAACAACTAAATTGGAAGTGCTATTGGGTGTGTGTGGGGGGGGGGGCGAATGGTTAACGCGTGAACCACATGATAGTCCCGAAACGACCTATAGTTTGTGTCCAGTGGACGTTAAACTCACTTTGTCTCAACAAAAAGTGGCTCCATGTCAGTGACCCAATAGCAAAGTCACAGGGCGAGTACTTTCTATATAAACTTAAAACCGTAAGTATTAACCACTGATTAATAAGTGGTAATAGGTGTTCAAAATAATAATAGTATACCAGGAAAAATGTGGGCGTATAAAAAGGCTTGAAGACGGCTGACTTGTGTGTGTTTTGTCTACGATATCACCTTAGGTGGAATGGAAGTAAAACTCTAGGAACGAACGAAACTGGCTTGTTTGAAAAGGGTTGCGGAACTGTTATAACTTTATGGGAGCCACGGTGGTCGGGTGTTCGATCCCTGCATTAGCCGAGAAAGTTCATCGGGATTTTCCGACGTGGTTTCCCCTTGTCAGTGGTGCAGAACGGAGGGCCTGACAGGGTCAGCTGTCTAGTCCTTCGGGTGATACGAAAAACCGAGGTCCCGTGTATACATTGGAATGCACGTAACAGATCCCTTGGCAGTTGGAATTCGATATAAGAGTAGGCGATAGTGCCGCTGCCCGGTCAAAATTTCCCTCATAGCACACTGTATGGCATATGCCCGTCTTCATTAGCCCAGTATAGGAGCAGAACAGTAGGACGTTAAACCCCATTTCATTTCATTTCATTTCGTTATAACTTTATGGATCTAAGACACATACAAATGGCGGCGTGAAATCAGTGGAAACCATTGGAACTTTAAATTAGTCGTTTCAATATATACCCAAGCCCGGAGTCGAGGGTACCTTCCGTTTGAGAATCATTTTAACACAGTTATCAGGATAATGAATTCGCCAATTAATAAGAAAGGTCAGGTAAATATATACTACTATTACTGTATTTGATACGATCTAAGTAAATAGCCTCGTTATAAGGTAATTAGTTATATTAATGATAAGATAATGAGGGGGGATGAATAGGTACATCATATAAGATACAGTATATAGATAATTATAATTATGTTGCAGATGAAGTAAGCAACTTGCTTTATAAATATAATATAAAAGAAAACATTTGCGTCGTTTATAGTATAGTTCTCATTTTAGAGCATCAAACGTCACTTACAATTTCCATTCTATTTTTAGGTTGAAATTTTCCCTTCCACTTCTGGAAACAGTCCCAACTTTCGTTCCATTTACCATTGACGAGTATCGTGTACATGACAGGGTTTTGTTCTCTTTCTAGAACACTCGATACCATTCCAAAAATATGGCAGATTTCAGAAAGGATAATCTTAGAACATTTTCCAATATCATTTCAATATAGAAGATGCAGATTTAAGGAATGAACATTGTGAAGAATACCTAACATTAAATTGATGTGGAACTGTCCGCATAGCCTTATACAATGTTCATTCTGTCAATTCTCTATATTATATTTGAAGCTCAAATGTGCTGATTAAAAGAACCCTTCTGAGACAAACTAAAGAACTATATTAAAAAGGTTCACTTTATTTATATGGACCTGCAATTGATATTCGTTATACGTTTTCGGATCTTTAGATTTTTGAAAAACGAAGAAAATAGTAACGTTTAAATTCCCAAAGTAATACCCCAAATATTATCTACAAAAAGTCACGTCTCGAACGTTTTATCGCAAAGATAATTGTACTTGAAAAATAGTCTCAAATAGTAAATATATATTAGTAAATGCAGAAGAACCGTATAACAGGGCATCAGTATTAAGTTTAAAAAGTCATAAAAGCCCATTCTCTGCATGGCTTCCTATTATAAAGATCGTTGTTTATTGCATGTTGCATACCCTATAACTGTTATAACAAGCAGGTTGAGTGAAAGATAAGTATATCATACCTATTTGACATAGCTCAAAGAACCGTATACTATAAATACGTAACAGATTCGTGTAACATTTGGCGTTTACACAATGAGTGAATAAAAATAAAGCCCAATGGTTCTCACTAAACTCTCTCGGGGTTCGTACAATAGATGTATATAGATTTAATTACGCTGTTTATAAATATTTGAGACGGTGGCATGGAATAATACTCGAGTATACAGCTGGAAATAAAATTAGTTGCAATATCGACTTTCTTAACGTCTTATTTAGCTGGTAAATATATATAATAACATGTATTTATTTTTAAACACTTACCTATGACGTAGATTAGATTACAGAATAAAGCCAACACAATTGCAGTCTTTTTGTACATTATTCCAATCATTTTTTAGGATGAGACCAGACACAATTGGTTTTAAGAATCAGAGTAATTTGCACGGCGGGACAGCCGATACTAACAACCTCTCTCGCTAACCTTGTAAAATCTTCATTACGGGTTGTGGTGGGACGAATGCTTTTCACGAATTATCGGATTCCTGAAGTTTCTGCAGCTGTTTGAAAACCACGTGTATTGGGCGGAACCATCCCTTACAAAACACAGTCATATTTCACGAGCAGATTCCTTATTCCAGTGATTTGAACGATTGTAACGGTGCATGGATTGTAGCCGGTATAACGGAATGACTCCAATACTCAACTCTCAACTATATGGACTGCACTCACGTTGATCATTGAATGGAGGTCTGCTGTACTATGAAGTATATAAAAATGGTTAATATCCATAAAGTTTTCCCAAGAGAATTACCTTATTGGATTTGATGTTTGCTCACACTACCGCTATAATATTGTTTATTAACAATTTAATTACGCTTAAAACGAAATACCGATATAGAACTAATAAAAAAACATCCACAAATAACCAGCTTTATTTTAAGTGGAACGAAACTTATGTCAACAGAAGCAATGTCGATATCATTAATTCCAATCTAATCACAGCACATTTTTTGTCATTTACGGTGCAGACAAATTGCATTAGCCAAATGTGATTCCTGTTGAAATTTAAAGTATAAAAGAAAAACCACACGTAATTAAAAACGTAATTAAAGGAACAATAGGCCAGATCGCTAGTTTAAACTTATTGTATCGAAATTACATTGTACTATACAAGAGGATTTGACAACAGTTATAAAAATATGAAATTAAATGAAATGGGGTTTAACGTCCTACTTTTCTGCACCGACAGTGATAATGAAGACGGACATACGCCCATTCGGTGCAGAAAAATAGGATGGGCATATGTCGTTCAATGTGTGTGGTTTGGGAAATTTTGCCTGGGCAGCGGCGCTACGGCCTACTCTTATATCGAATTCTAACTGTCAAGGGTTCTTTGCACACCGATGTGTACAGAGAACCTCGTTTTTTTGTCCCATCCGAACGACTAGACAGCTTCCCTTATCAGCCCCCCGCCCTACATCACTGACAAGTGGAAATCGCGCTGGAAAGACCCGTGGAATTTTCGCGGCCAACACCCGGAAATCTCCAGGCTAACCAGTTAGCGTCTTACTTATTGAGCCACCGCGACTCCCCTTATAACAAAATGCTAATAAAATATTAATTGATAAGAATGTTTCAAATGAACGATACTAAGTTATTCATATTACTTACGTTGACAGGTATCGCCATAGTGTGCAGTGAGGGAAATTATGCCTGGACAGCGGCACTACAGCCTACTTTTAAATCGAAATCCAATTGCCAAGGGATATATTTTACTTTACGCCAATGTGTACACTAGAAATCGATTTTGCGTCCCATCTGAACGACTATACGTTTTCCCTTGCCAGGTCCTCTGTCCTGCACCACTGACAAGAGGAACCACGCCAGAAAATCCCAATGAACCGTCTCGGTCTGTTGAACTTATTCAAGATAAAGCATACAAATTCTATGATGAGTGGGCGCCCACCAATTCTCACAAAAGTCCTTTATTTCCCTAGAGGAACAGCGTCTAACCATTCGGATAAGACAAAAACAGAGGTCCCGTGTACACGTTCGTACGTAAAGAACTCTTGACAGTTAGAATTCGAAATAAGAGTAGGCTGTATCCCCTCATCTTTAATTTAATATTCATACGGTCCACGATACCTTGAAGATAGGAAAAGTAGGATTTTTGCCGGGAAATCTGCTTGGTTGTCGGAAAGGTATAGCTGCCAAGAAACTCAGATAGCAACTGACGGAGTCTAACGACCGAACTATCGGCCTTACCTGTACTTCTATGCCGGTGCATAGATATACCACGACTGGGGAGGACGAATAGAAACGCCGATAGGTTCCGACACCTTATCGGACTCAAGACCGACAGGCAATTTTTGTGTCGGAAAAAAAAACCCACCTAGTTGTCCAATAGGCATTTCTCACCATTGAGAACTTTTACGGATGAATATTCAGCCAATATTCGGAGAGTTGTTGGATATCCTGGACCCTGCGCTTGAACGGTATACGCACAGGTAATGATAATAAAATAAATCACCTCCGTTATTGTTGAGTTGGAAATAGGATAAGTTTGGGTATCTTATTGAATGGGATGGAACTACAGGTTTAAATCTACGTCTGAAAAGGAATATTAAATAAAAGATTATTTTTTCTGGGTTTTTTTTTCAGATCACAATCACCAGATCCATCGCTGGAGCTGTGCTTAGCAGTGCAACACTTTGCTCAAGGCTGATTCTTACCAATGGTAGGATATGTACATGGTGTTGTCCAAGAACGGCAAGTCGATGCATTAACGCTGTTGCGCGGGCAATTTGTGACTGTATGGACCGCATTATTCAATGGTGCGACGCTGCTGCGGTTTTACAAGCTAAACCAGCGGTCCTTTTCTCCCTGCCAATGATCCGTCTATGTATGCGGAAAAACTCCATCCAATTTCGCATGGTGAATCTCAAACATGTTAATTATCACACTTTTCTCGTCTTTAAAATAACCAGCGACTCGGGTACGTTTATTAGCCATTTTGAGATGCTTGGCTGTGCACTTGGGCTTCTTAGTGCTGAATGATGAAATTGTCCACGCGATTATACACAACGGGATTCAGGAAATCTAAAATGAGCCAATTTTACAGACCCTCGTACCTTTAGCCATTGCACTCCGACAGACTATCGGAGTTTCTACTTTCAGTCGCCCAACTGTCTAATTGTTAGGTCAACCAACCTGACTCCGACAGACTATCGGCCGATAGCGTCCTGACAATCTCTGTCGGTGGTGCCAATGACTGATTTTCTTGGCACCCGGCCCTGACAGACAATTAGCCCGCCCACCTATTAGTCCGATAGCCCACAGTCAGACAGCACAACATTATTGTTAGATTAAAACTGAATAGCCAGTTCGTTTTAGAATTCCGATATTTGGGGATTATCTGATTTTGGGGGACGTTTTCACCTCGCTACGCTTTGCACACTAGGGTTACTTTTATTTTTTATATAACCGACATTGTATATTATATAGATAGAATAAGTTTCAAATAAAAGTTTTAGAATTCCGATATTTGGGGATTATCTGGTTTTGGGGGACGTTTTCACCTCGCTACGCCTTGCACACTAGAGTTACTTTTATTTTTTATATAACCTACACTGTATATTATATAGATAGAATAAATTTCAAATAAAATCCAAATCTATTGCGGGCCCAGCTATGCTGTTGGGTGCTCCTTCTCTTTCTCGGTGCCATACTTAAGACTTTCAGGGCAGGCTATCGATTAGTCGAAAGGTAACCAAACATTAAGACATTTACGCCTTGTTGTTTTTGGTATATTTGTTCACCGTAGGCCCACCTAAAAAAAAGTGTGGGTCACATGGAATTCGATCCCTGAGGGTGACTCCACATAGTTATTAAAATATACTTTTGTATCCAGAGAATAAACATTCCAGAATCGGATTTAAAATCGATCACAGTTAGAACAAATTGTGAGTCTGTAAAGTAGGCCACAACTCTAATTCGGATTCGGTGCAATCAGGCACACCGAAATTCGCCTTCTGAAACATTTTTCCGATAATACATTAACCCATTATGATCCCAGGCTTGGTTGATTAACCTTTTAAGCTAATAGCTTTCTCTCAAATGGAAATTTTGAATAAAGAAGTTGGATTTCTATAATTGAAGTCACTTTTTACATTAAGCAGACGTAATGAACCGGAATGGAAATCATTTTGATCTATAAAAAAGAAATCCAATTTTGTTGCTGAGTTTTTGCACTGTTCCTTTAAAAGATGGACGAATAATGAAGAGAACAGGAACTCTCTTCATCTACTAAGTAAAGCGTATTAGTTACATCTCCTTGTTTTCCAATCAACGCAAATCGTCTGTGAAAATCGTTAAAATCAGATGTTCATTAATTGAATAATCTAGGGTTATCTCCCCTGAAAGCTTTCCTTTGTCTCCATTACCACGCCAGCTTTTTTCACTCTAATGCGATAATTGTAACGTCGGAAAGATGAAAGTAAAAATCCCCACTGATTAATTACCGGCGAAAATCGGCGTGAAACACTCCATAGAAATCGATTCTCCGACTTCGGGTGATGTTAAACGATCGCTTTTGATGATAAATAAAAATGGTGATATAAAAGGGCAATAAATTAAGACGGGCTATACAATTACAAGAGGATTGTAAACAGTTCTGGCAGTACAGTCTGTTGAAAATAACGTGTTTTGTAATCACTTTATTTTATGTACACACGTATATCATGGCGGCTTAGATGACATTTTGGGCTAGGTTTAACACGACTAACTTGAAAGAAATGGTCGATATCTTGACACTTCAGATGTTCTTTGAAAGAAATAACGGGTGAATGGGTTTTCAAACTGAGGGGTTGGTCGGTTTGCTTCAATCCCAAACCATCTTTGAATAACACTCAATGATTATTATTAGATTATTCAACATCTATATGACAATCTATTGTGTGAAAATTATTTTTGCTTTTGACTGAAATAAGTGTGATTTTTATTAAAGGCTTCGGAACACTCATTGCCCTGTGCATTATCCTAAAACATGTTTAAACACGATATTAAATGTTTAGAATGATAGTTGTACGGTGGCCTGTTAGTGACATACACTGATTTATACATTTTTCTTGAAATTTACCTCATATGAGAAATCGCAGTGAAAACTGCGATAAATAAAAAACCCATGAAAAACCTTTCCACCGCGGTGGAAACATTTTCTCCTCGCCGTATAGTTGACAATAGTAACTCTGTGTGGATTTTAAGAATGGTGTACAATGTACATGTAGTTAGAAATGGTAACCGTGTGTGGATTTTAATAATGATATAGTTAGAAATGGTAACCGTGTATAGATTTTCAGAACGATGGTTTACATTGGTAACAGTGGGTAGATTTTAAGATTGATAGTTTACACTAGTGATGGTGATGATTTTAAGAATTATAGTTTACAACGGTAGATTTGTTTTGATATTTAAAATGATAGCTTACAATGGTAAATGAGCGTGTAGCACCATGGGTCTTCTGTCAGACGTCGAGAGCGGAGGACATGCTAAAATCGGTCGCCACCTCCGGCGTATAACCCATGCATCTTTTCTTACTACATATTATCTTAGTAGCCTTTGTGATCGTTTAGTATTTTCACTTGTCGTCTTTGCTTCCCCTTCACGTTGTGTATTTACTTCCTACTGTTTTCTCAGTTAGTTAAGACGTCTGTCTTACCAGGAATAACAATGTAACAGTTCGTTTTTACATTTTATATATCATAGCTGGATACATATAAATAAGCATACTTTACAATAGATTGCAATAATAACGTCATTCTCTCGAACCACATCCAGACAGACTCTCTGGAACGAGTCTGCTGATAGAAATTGCTACACCTTTTCCCTTCTAGAATCGAGCTGCTGTCTGGCGAATTCTCACAAATATGATAGTTTTGTGGCTTTAGGTTTTGGACCTTCAATTATCTAATTGGTCAAATATGATGTAAATATTAACAGAACACAGTTTTTATGTAGTACAATCACTAGTTTATTCTAAAAGCACGACGTTTCGACAAGTATCCTCTTATCGTTATCGTACTTGATAACGATAAAAGGATACTTGTCAAAATGTCGTGCTTTTAGAATAAACTAGTGATTGTACCCCATAAAAACTGTGTTCTGTTAATGTGTTTCCCGATCGCTAAATGCCACTTAAAGATTATGGTGTAAATAATTATAGAGATTTGTTACTCTTTTTTATATACCAATCTGTCATTCCTTCGCTCATTTTGATTTAAGTACGTGTGAATCTAATAATTTGCCAAAGATATTAATACAATGCTACTAATTTAAAGAGCGTTTATATTAAGAATGACAGCTTACAATGATAACTGTGTGTTGAATTTAAGAATGACAGCTTGTAATGGTAACTGCGTCTTGATTTTCTGAATATGACAACTTTCTATAAAGTAGCTCAATTGTGTGTTGATTTTAAGAATGATAGCTTACAATGGTAAATGTGTGGTGAGTTTAAGTAACAGTCGATTACAATGCAACCAGGCGTAGAGGGACTGTTTTGGCATCAGGACATTTACACTGTCGCTATCCCCAAGATAATACTGGTTTTGAAAACAAGGATGTCCCATGATTCGGCAATACTGGGAATTTGTGTTCGTACGGTTCTCTAAAACAATCTCTACATTCTACAAAACGGGATCTACACGAATACTCTAAGTATTCGGTTTGAAGGATATCACGCCAAATTTATGATACAAGGAACGACATTGGCCATTTAACTCCAGCTTTCAATGTTATTAATAGTTATCACAGACAGGCGCGAATTTTTCAGAATAGTAGGGACTCCTGATCCCCTTACCCATCCAGCCACACCACTGTTGGAACTTCTACTCTTCCATTTCTTAAAGTAGCTTCGATAAATAACGAACGAGAATCAATGATTTAAACATTGTTTAGAAACTGGTTTTTATTGTGTTGTTGGGGGTAATGAAAACACAAATTTTTTCATATATATACCCAAACCAACAAAAAAACAAAAAGTAATCTCGCGTCTTGTATATGCCGATAACCATAAGCGTATTGATGTTGTGGTCTTACCTGGAAAGATCGACTTCTGATATTCAATATTTAAGACAAAATAAACATTTTACCACTGGTACACGAATCGTGTACTATAATGAGTTTCAGCGCCATTTGTAACAAGGGACTCGAAGAACGGGGCTAGACATATTCCACAAGTCATGTCAAACGGTGACGCATTACAATATGTACCATACATATCTTGAAAATTAATGTTATTTTGTAAGATATCTAATCAGATATTGTAATGCATCATAATGTGAAATGTTAGTTGTAATTATGGATGCGTGTACATGTAGTTGTGAATAAACTATTATTATTATTGTTATTTAATCCTCCTACTTGTCTTCAAGTGCATCAACAACCAGGCTCCTCGTCACCAGTTATAAGCAAGCTGAGAGCCGTCTCCTGTATGTGCCACCATCCGGATCCCGTACCTTTGGAGACCACTCTTTTATGGTTGCTGGTCCTTACTTGTGGAACCAGCTCCCCCTAGAGCTATGAGCTTTAGACAAAATTGATATCTTCAAATCGAGACTGAAGACACAACTTTTCCGTGAGGCTTACTGTAAAAGACTCCTGTGTGACTAGTGTTTCACATTTGTGTCATTGATGGATTTTCCCATGCGCGGTTGAGCAGTTTTCTGGAAATGGCGCATTATAAGTATTTTCATATATAGTATGTAAGTATGTATATACGGCTAAATCTATTTGTTAAGGCCAGCTCAATTTTTTCCAAGGTCGCTGAGATGTAAATTAGGCAAGGGCACGTGATTGTTGGCGAGATTATAGGTTGGGTTTAAGCATTTGAGGGAAAGGTTAAGTCTCCACGTAAGCACTGACCTAGGATTAGGGTAAGGTTTGGGATTAGCGCTATCCCTGTTTACATCTCGTGACCTATGACAAACAATTGAGCTGGCCTTATCATTTAGCTCTATCCCTCCTTCAGTCATCGAGCCAACCACACGAGGCCTGAACATTCTCACCTCCAGCCAATTCACGATATAAAAAAAAATCAACTGTTTCTCGGCCTCTTGAGACGAATTGATTATTTTGGTTAATAGGACCAATTGAGAGATTAGTAATAGATTTATTCGTGCTGCTAAGAGAATAACATGGTCCAAAACACGAATCTAGCCGATTCTGCAAATAGGTCAATAACCTGAATGACACCGCTTACATACTTAAACTTTGTTTATTTAGACGAGTGTCTCCCATCCTGATTTCCACAAAATTGTTACAATCATGCCTTGATAGATCATAGAAATTAACCCGTTTTCTATGATTCACGCAATGTTTTGTAGTCTGCGCCCAGCCTTTTATTCAATGCTCTTTCTTTTTAAAAATTTTAATTGGCAGTCTGAGGGCTAAATCTATTTGTTAAGGCCAGCTCAATTTTTGTCAAGGTCGTGAGATGTAAATAAGGTTAGGGCACATGATTGTTGGCGAGATTGTAGGTTAGGCTTATAATAGAGTAAGTATTGCGGCTAGGTCCAGGGTTAGGGCTGGGATTAGCGCTAGCCCTGTTTACATCTCGTGACCTATGACGAAAAATTGAGCTGGCCTTATCATTTAGCACTAACCCAGAAGAGGGGGGGGGGCTGTTCCATTTGACCAAGGAGAATCGCTTTACTGTGTGATCTGTTAATCTTTGACCACATTATCATCCCATCTTCACAACTCACCGTAGCTTTACATCAAGATTTGTATCATTGCAAACTCCCCTAAATTGCAATTGCTCTATAATTCGTAAGATCTATTGCGGACCAGTATTTTACCGAAATGAAATTGGTTATCACATCCTACAGTTCTGCTCCCGCTGGGCTAATGAAGCCGGGCATACGCCATACAGTGTGCTATGCGGAAAATTTGCCCGGACAGCAGCGCCAGAACCTACTCTTATATCGAATTCCAACTACCAGGGGTTCTTTTACGTGCTTGCCAGTTTGTACGCGTACTAAACGGTGTAAACCCTCCGTCCTACACCACTAACAAGGGGAACCACGCCGGATAATTAGGATGAACTTTCTCGGTCAACACAGGAATCGAGGAACCCCCGGGTTAGCGAGCCAACGTCTTACTTGCTGAGTCATGGTGGCTTCTAGTATAATACCATTGCTATGCTGTCAACTAATTGTCTTTTTCTTCAATATAATACTGGGTCTTACATGAGGAAACAGTTCCTGGTAAAGTTACTTCTACACCATACAGTCAAAAATATGATGAAAGGGTCTTCAAATGAAAACGAGACATGAAGGAGCTTTTAACCAGCTTTACGGTTGAAAAACATTAATTTATTATGTATTCATTGAATTAGTCAAGTATGTCATTAGAGGCACAAAAATATGATGAAAGGATCTTTAGATGTAAACGAGATACGAATGAATGAATGAATAAATGAAGTGAAGTTTTATGGCACGTCAGCTTCAACCGGGATATATTGCACCAAAAGATATTGAAGGATTGTGAAAGAGCGTTAACCCGTTTTACTGTGTAATACATATAAGGTAGAAAAACTTTATTTTATTATGTATTCATAATACAACATTGACGTGATATTAGAATGTATATAACGTAGATCAATACTGTCAATCAACACACTGATCGATCTATACATGAGTTATTGACCAAGGTTGTGGTTTGAAGTATGTTATGTGAGAAGTGACTATTGTCCACTCCCAACAAGTATCGGTCAATATGATGTCCATTCCAATATAATCAATTATCATTATCACCGTTCTTCATTACCTGTCAATCAATAGAGTTCATATTAGATTTTATCTCATACTTTTCTTCTCATATTGTTCCCGCCAGTGAGAGTCTTATAGGAGTAATTACGTCCACTTTATTAATCTAAGTTTATTACGTTTTCCGTTCAAGAAGATTTAATATCGTCTAATCAATCCTATTACCATTGTTCATAACATCTGCTCATTTACATTCGAGTCCGTCATATAATATTAATAACCATATCCTCGACGTACAACAAAGAGGTTGGCCATTCTAAAAATCCACAACTGTATATAACCCCAGTTAGTTATTCACAAACCGTTCAATATTTTAGGGTTTCATTAACATTTTGTTTTGACGATGTGGTATGTTATTTATTTTGGAAACCTTTTAATAGTAATATCTCGTAAACATGAATGTTAAAATATACTGGAGAACGAATACGGCAGTTGGTGCCGAGCTTAGTTATCGAAAAAATTTGGGAACGTTTCTAGTCATTTGTCCGAGGAAAGAACCACGTAAAGTCTTGTCATATATTCCCGCAATACAGTGGTATCAGTGACTTAGTAATGATTTCTGACTCATGAGTCAAGTCAAGTCAATTAAATTGAGTCAGCTGTTTGAAACTTGAAAAATACAAAAAACAGTTTCTACATTTTCATATACTAAAGGATATATCGAATTTATCTTCCGGGGTTTTGGAATGAATGGCATGGAGGATTTTATAACGTACTACTTTTCTGCTCCATGAAATGAAATGGGGTTTAACATCCTACTGTTCTGCTCCGAACTGGGCTAATGAGACGGGCATACGCCATACAGTGTGCTTTGAGGGACATTTTGCCCGGATAGCGGCACTACGGCCTACTCTTATATCGAATTCCAGCTGTCAAGGGATCTTTTACGTGCACGCCAATGTGTACACGGGACTTCTGTTTTTCGTCCCATCCGGACGACTAGACAGCTGTCTGCTAATAAAGACGAGCATACGCTATGCAGTGTGCTATGAGGGAAATTTTGTCTGGACAGCAATTGAATTCCAATTATCATGGGTTCCGTTATATGGTTTTTCGTTCCATCTGAACACTTAGATGCTGTTCCTTGCCAGATCGTACATCCTGCACCATATAAATAGATGAACCACATTTCTGTATCATGAAATCGGTTTACATGTCGCTTTAGTTTAATGGTATCAGACGAGTAATTAATCATCTCTCCGGTGCCTATACCATTTTTGTTTAAGGTTCTAATGACCTTAGTCTTTATAACCACGAAGAGCCCAATGTTTCACAGTCATCTTAATCACTCGGTGGTGGGGGCGGGGGGGGGGGGAGGAGAATTTCTGGGTATGGAGATAAGGGGAAATTGATACTAGTTTGAACCCTAAAATTCCTCTCATGGCAGACTGCATTGTGTTTGCCGGTCTTCATTTGCCCGGTTTTAGTGAATGTTTATGGCTGAGAGGCGGAAGGGCAATGAGGATGATTACAGCGATATGTACAGCTCATAGTTACATATTTAATAGTATGCTACTTCAAACATGACGTATCTCAAAACTTCAAAGGTTAACTTCATACAAGCTTTGGAGCAAGACATCGCCAGATTTTGCTCAGTCTCCATTGAAGTGTGCCCAGAAAAACGGAAATTTGGGTAAAAGTTGGAGCTGGAAAAAAGCCAATGGGGGGGTCTTCCCCCGAATCTTTGTGAGGTTGTCTCCCTTATTTATCATAGCTTCTTCAAAATTCGTGAAAATGATAATGGAATCCAACATGTAGATTTACAATTTATTGTTCATGACATGGACTGCACACATAATTAACAAGCGGTTGCCATGCAAGATACCCCACATTTTGCAAGAGATGGACAGAGAACCACCTAAAAAAATAATGTGATTTTTTGTACAATCAGGGGCCATAATCCAGGAAGTTACAGTCTGATATGCACGAATATCGAAAGGAATCAAGATCTTTGGGGAATAACCATTCATTTCAAGTTTCATTAAAATCGGATAGAAGTTGTGACTTCTAGAGGGTCCACAACCTTGATATTACATACTTTTAGATTATTTGCGTACAAGGAACAGCCATTTCTTAAAATAATTTCACTAATTTTCATAAATTAGGTTCCTATATGACTCCCAGTACACCAAAGTTAGTAAATACTGTCTTTGAACTACAAATAGTCTAGTCACCAAACCCAATATTTTGAGCGAACCTGGAAATTGTATACAATTTTTTTTATGATTGATTTTAGTAGCCTAGAGTGTCCTGTTTCAGAATCCGCCGGGTGAAGCTCGATCACCCTTGAGCGTTTTGAGAAATTCCAGATGGCGTCAAAGACGAACGCCATTTCAAATAATCACCTATAACCACGGTAGTATTTAGTCTAGAATGATAAGTTTGGTGTCTAAAACGTATATTTCTAGGGTCAAGGAATACACTGAAATTGTTCATTATGTTGTGGGATTATTAAATGATAGTAAAATCCAAAATGCCAGATAATATGGCCCTTTAACTTGTTGGCGGCGGTTGAGGGCCATTATTTTACTAAACCAAACTAGATCTTGAGACAAACTATATATTTCTGGATATATGAAAATATGAGTGATACAATAACACTACATAAATGCCTATCAAATGTTCCAGGGCCACATGGGCCGGTCCTGAAAAGGGGGGG